GAATAAATACATAGGTTGAAAATTTCTAATCGTTATTACTAACTCGCAAGATGATATTTACCAAAAAAACTTTTACCAAACGATTTATTTACCAAGAGAAGAATCACTTTTCCGATTTTCTCACTCGTTAGATCTATCTATACCGCTCGACGCTTCGAACCAGACCGAGTTCGGCTTTGAAAATCTTTTCCTCCAGATTTTATGATTATGAATCTTACTATACGGTGCGTGCTACGTTCGCATACCGATCTTTTTTCTACAAACTTGCCTTATCGCTCTTTTCAAGTGGCGCCTTCTAAGTGCTCGAACCGTCGTGAGCACGCCTCTCGCGTTCTCGTCAAAACCCGCTGACATTTCTCGTATATATTTTAGTAATTTTACTATATTTCGATTCGATTTCTTGTGCCGTTCCAAGAGAAAACTTCAGGGAAACATGCATGTCTGAAAAAGTTGCGCCGAAATAACTCAATTCCCCGTAATCGCTAATAAACTTGAATGTCCCACGAGAGGGGACATCCGAGCGATATGCTAGAATTACGATGTCAGAGGACAGCGGAGTGCAAAGGGTTAAACTATAAACTGCTGTCTATTTTTCTCCAATCCAAATTGTACTCTGTTCCTCCCTCTCCCGTCCCATGGACCACTCGATCTTCGTTCCCGGAGAGATCCGATCTATCGAGACGTCCACACGAGTTCTAGTTCGCGATTCGCGTTCGTTCGGGAACGAGCCAGCGACAGAACGACCAACCGAATTATCATTGTAATCTTTTTTTTTCTGTTCGCAGAGGTTGAGTGCGAGGTGTCGAGTCAAGTGGAGTATTCTCTGCAAGCGATCTGGGGCGTGAGCATAAGAGAGCTTCACCTGGCGCTCTGGAAGCCCTGGAGCACCCTCCGCGACGCGTCCTTGAACGGCACTCTTCTGCAAGGCCACGCGCAGTATCTCACGCCGCCGCAAACGTATCCTTTTACGAAGAGACGATTGTTGCGTCGTTCTCGACCACTGCGGTGGTTACCGGCAGTGCGCGAGTCTCCAGTGCGTTAGTCGCAGATAGAAATCCATGGAAACGTCGATTATGCTCCTTGACCAAAATGTGCAGTAGACAACCGCACGGCGAGGAGACGCTGAGACTGTCGCTACCGGCGCCCGAGCTGGAACTTGGGACACCTCCGCGCCTCTGTTACCCTCTGGTGATTTTTCTGACCCGTCGGGACAACGGGGATCCTCATCCCGACGAAACCGTGAGTATCCGAGATCTCGACAGCTTCGAACCTGTCCGGAGCATAGATCGAAACCGAATCGGATCGGATCGAAACAGAAACGAATGAATGAGCGTTCTTGATCTAAATCCGGCTTCCCCCGTGCGTTGTTGCGTCCACTCCGTTATCCAGCCATGGATCATTGGCTACCGACCGGTGATTTTTAATTAGTCGAGCGATCGTGCGGAACACGGGAGTGGGGCGTGTCCTAGATAGCGGTCGTTGGTAGCCGTTGCCTCCGCTAACATTCTAGAGTCCTTTTCATCGGTTCCCCGTCGTTCAGCGTCTGACCCGTTTGCCTACGATTCTTTCCTTTCGTCGATTCCCGGATAACCGATCTGTCAACGTCGAACGAAGATATTCGAAGAAGCACTCTCCCCGAGCACCCACCGAGGTGCTTCCCTCGTCGACAAAATTCGTACTTTAGAGGTCTGTTGATATCGTAGAGTTCCAGTAGGAAAGTCGTTAAACGGGATTGCTCGAGGATTTGGCCATGGAACGAGGTGGTCGGGAGTGTACGTATCGATAAAAGGATCGTGTGCGTCGATCGCGTCGTTTCTTACTGCGGAACCTCGAAAGAGCAATTGTCTTTAGCGGCGCTGTAACTAACGACGCAGGGAGGGGAATGGAAAAGGAAGGAAGCGTTTGGAGGCGTGGGCCTCCCGGAGGACTCATCGGGGTAAGGCCTATCTGGTAGGGCCCTTCCTTTAGACGCGAGGATATCGCAAGCACGGTTAACCTTTTAGGCACGACGCGCCACTATAGCGGCTTGCTCTAGTAGCTCACTCGCTCATCGTTCGAACCAAATAATCGTCTTCGTATGCATTGTTTCACACTTCTTTTGTCTTCGCATCGATTTACAACAGTCTACAGGGTGTCCCAAAAATGTCTCGCAATCCGGAAATGGCGGGTTCCTCGGATCGTTCGAAGCAACTTCTTCCTTTAGAAAAATGTTCTCCGAGGCACCGTTAACGAGTTATCA